AAAAATGTCCCAAGCATTTTCTTCTTTGAAGTAAAGGAAATTGGCTTGATTTTAATTATAGAATAGCAGTTAGCTGTACAGGATTTTCTCATACACGTGTACGCACACACGTCCACACACGCACACAGAGTCTGTACTCCTTGCCTATCTCTCTCCCCCTGCTTTATAAGAAATAATTCATTTCCTTTGTAGGAAAACACAAAGTGGGTCATTCAGGGAGTCTGTGATGTTCCCCTAGAATGTGCACACACGCACACAGAGTCTGTACTCCTTGCCTATCTCTCTCCCCCTGCTTTATAAGAAATAATGCATTTCCTTTGTAGGAAAACACAAAGTGGGTCATTCAGGGAGTCTGTGATGTTCCCCTAGAAGGAAGCCAGTGGCAGTCCCAAGACCCCCGTGCCTCTGACACCACTGTCCTGTCCGAGCCCCAGCGCTCTCCCGCGCTGCCTCCAGCCTCCCATCTCCCAGGGCCTCAGCAGGAGAGGACACACCTGTGAATCCTCTGGCGTCACCTCAATTTCTTCCAGCTGTAAAAACCACCGCATGAGAAGAACGGAACTTTTCCTAGACTGGGAATCCCAAAACACTTTTCCCAAACCAACAAGCGAGCAGTTTTCACTCTGGTGAATTACACCCCTTAAGGAGAGCACAGCAGGAGGACGGTCCTGAGACGAGGGTGGTCTGCAAGGGTCCCGGCTTCGCTGCCCTCCACGCTTGTCCTTCTGACTTCTCTGAAGTGCACACGGCCCTGCCCTGACACAAGAGCCCTGCTTTGCCGGCAGGTTACACTAACTTGCAACTATTTCATCCAAGATGGGGTCTGGGTCACCTTGCTGGTGCGGCACAGGCACAAGGAATTGGAGAGCCCTGCTTGCTGCAGCTGGACCCGCACCCCCTGAGCCTGCCTGCTCCCCGTGCCCCGGGCTGCCCCGGCTGGGCCTGTCCTGTGTCCACCAGCAGCCGGCGGGAGGTGGGTTTGATACTGGCTGCCGACGATCTCAGGGAGCCTTCGTGCCAGGGGCCTGCCTATTCTTGGATTCCTCAGCTGGCATCTGGGACACGAAGGGAGAAGCAACATGAGGCTGGGGAGAGAGATGAAGACGCAAAAGGAGAAAAGAACACGAACACACTCAGCACTTCCTTTCTGAACACTTCCGGGGAGCCTAGTGTGAATGCAACGGTGATCCAGACGGTGTCACATTAATTTTTCCACATCATACTACCTCCTCAGCTACCGGGAATTTCTCCATAACACACCAATGAAGGGTAGTGCAAAAATAATTATGAAAGGGGATTAACTAATTTAAGGAAAAGTCAAAGAGCAAAGATAAGACTGAAGACACGTAACAAACAATGCAGTCAGTTAAAATTTTTACATAATTTATAATTAAATTATTTTGTACCCAAACATACTCGACCACTTAATTAAAGCAAATTATGCTGATTATAGAGAATTTAATCATATATCACATTTTTATGCCAAATTAGCCAGGATGGGTCAAACTGATTTGCAAATTAAAAATCAGCAAAACTTAAAACATTTCCCAAAAGAGAGAAAAAGTAGTATTGACTAAAATGAGGTCATTTCTTATTCATTTACAAAGTCGTAGTTTTCCGAGTATTTAGACAATGGACAGTTTACTATTAAGCATGTTGAAATGAGTAAAAAACCAAAATAACATACAACGTATCAACCCTCAGCATTTCAAAAGTAAACTCTAATTCAGAGTAATCAGAATTATTATTTTGACCTTCTAAGGAGCATGGTCTCATATTTAGAATAGAATTTGCCCTGTGGAACTGTCATATGATTAAGGGGACCCAAAATGGGTAACATTTCCGCATAGACACACCGTCCTGTTCTCCTGCTTCCCTCTGTCACCTCGGAGGTGCTTGGAAGGCTGCGTGTCTGTGTCATGCTACTTTACTCTTTGACCCTAAAGGAAGATGCAGACATTTCTCTGGAGGAGGAGGGGAAAATAAAGGAAAGCAAACTCCAAAATAGTGGACATCTGTGACCATCCATGGCATTGAGACATCTCTCTTCAGTCCTGTAACAACTCATAAAAATGTCACAGCTAAGGCTCTGACTATATTTTCAGGTTCATTTTAGAAACTCCACCAAAGATGTAAAATATACAGGCAGAAATTTACCTGTGTGGGATGTCATGTGATTGCTGTTTCTATTTATTCTTTGCAATATTATTTAAATGTGCAATGAACACATGGCATACTTACAAGACAAAAAGAAGTACTTTTTTAAATTGTTGCAACGCAGTCTTCACTCACACTACCTCATTCGGCGTCGTAAAAGAAAAGCAGCTCATTACAGTTGTCCCACAGATGCGTCAGTGAGAACCTTTCCAGCCAGTTCTCCATGACGACAGCAGGAGAAGATACCGACAGTGGGAAAGGCAAACGGCGGGGCCGAGGGCGAGATTCTCCGTAGAAAGGAAGGGACGCGGGACAAGAGCACCTCTGTGCCACACCACACCGCCCGCTGACTTCAGGCCTCGGAGGAGCAATCCTGCCAGGTAGTGCCTGTTGTGCCAATGCTACAGATAAAGGGCTGGGAACTCAGCTAGCTACCAGGGGACACAGCTAGAGTGGCAGAGTTGGGACTGGGCCAAGCTTGGTCTCGCCCCACCCACAGCTCGTGCCGAGTTCAGAAAGACTCGCTAGAAATCCTGAGGTTTGGTTCTTGCTGGAGCTCCCCTGAGAAGAGAATTACCTTTCCGTGTTGCTCCTTGTTTATTTTCTTCTCCTGCCACATGTGTGCTTGGAAGAAAGGAAAATCCCCAGGATCCACCCAGCACTGGCCGCCCTCACCTCACAACGCACGAGGCCGCGTCCCTCTGCTGGGATTGGGACCGGGACCGTCAGCAGGGCGCGTGGCAGGCAGAATTGTGCAGCTCTCTGCCCCTTCCAGGAAAGAGTGGCTGGCCGCGGGAGGGTCCTGTGCCACCATCTGCTGCCCAAGCTGGGCACCCCCAGCCCCTCCACAAACCAGCAACGTCCACTGTGCTGCCGAAGCACCGTCAAAGGGCAGAAGGCAGTGTCTGCCTGGCCACCTAAGGATCCTGATTCTCTTCCATCGTGTGTGTCAATGTCGTTTCTCACGACTTCTGCCAAGGTGCTCATCATATTCCTGTCATAGTCCAAGGATCATAACACTAAATAAATCACCGAAGGCAAAAGAAATAGAAATTTGGAGAAAGGAACTAGTCTCTGCAGGCCTGTTCTCCGATTTTTGTTTTTAATACGTTCCCTTGAAATGGGATAAAAATCAAAGGTGTAGGTTGCTGGGCCCTGGGAGAAGTACAGTCTTTCTGTTCTATTTTAAGCAGAGAAGGGTCCAACCCAAATCCACAACTGGGGTGGGGGAACAAAGGTCTTCCTCTTGTTTGTCATTTCGTTAATAGTGGAAGAAATGACAGCAGCCCGCAGGCGCAGGGCATGTGCCACGTGGGGCGCGGTGCTGGGCACGCGCATGCACGGTCATGATCTCACTGAGTCTGAACAGCAACTCTTCAGGGTAGGTTCTTTTATTATCCCCACTTGCCAGGTAAGTAAACTGAGATTCAGAGAGATTGGGTGACTGTTGCATATCTGGGTGCACATGTAGGCTGGATTTTGAGCCCTGGGAGACCACAAAGCTCTTAATTACCATGCCCTACTGCTTCCCATCAGACCTTCAACCGAGGGTATTTAGATTCCCAGTGAAGGCTGGTTTGTCTATCTAGCTGCTTAACTCACTCTCAAGTCACACGTTAAGATCCTTCAATTTCAGCAGACACAGAGAGGGGTCAGTCTACGGGGTGGTACAGGGAGGAGAAAGAAGGGAACCCAGAGAATTCGAATTATAACAGGAAAATGGCTTGAAAGAGCTAAACCTATAACTTGGAGCCAAGTGGTTTGGCAGATGAAACCATGTTCAGGAATTTATGATGACAGGGACAGTCTTTTTTCCACCCCACTTCAAGCTGCTTTATAGAACTTTATCTTTTATGTCCAAAGATCAAATAAAAAAATATCACATTTAATGAGAACTAGGGGAAATATCCTGGTGGCAATTAAAGAGTAAAAATAACCTCTCTGTGGTTTCAGACCACTGGAGTTTTCTAATTTTAAGAGGCACAGGCAAATCACTTCAGCAAAGCCTTTTGGGCTGTGTTCGTCTCATGTTTCCTCCCACACCCAGAGTGGTTAAAGTTACAGGCAGCCATAGCTCCTGAACTCATGCAATTGTGTAGCAGATGCAAGTACAACCAGGCCGGACTCATCAGCTCACGAACGCGGCCTGTCAGCATGCAAGTCCAGTGCAAGTCTCCACTGTAAGCAGTTGCTTTGTGTGGAAGGAGGTTAGACAGGCAGAGTTAGAAAACGTCATGGAACCCCTGTTCTTAATGACAGTCCTTCCTTCCTCCATCCTCAAGGGCTGTTTCTACTGTCCTCTGACTCTGAACACGAAGTCTCGTAGTTGGCCAAGATCCAAAGGATCCTCACCTCACTTCCTATTTTCCATGTGCAGACCTGGTCTGTGCTATACCACGAGGTGGAGCTGAACTCTTCCTCGGACCTGTAATAACTGAGCTCACGCAACCCCCCAATGGCAGCCAGAGTGATTTGAGATCCCATTTTAGGAAATCACTTCTGCCCTATACCACCGTGGTTTGGAAAGCCCCCCTTAATCTTACAGTCCAGCTAACACCTGGAAAAAACCCGGGGTGTCACCAGCTTCCCAGTGAATGCGTAGACACACAGAAACCTAGAATTGCCAGGGGCACTAACTCTGAAACACTTCCTGGAGTTTCCCAGTTTGGAACATAACGTAGGGCTGACTTAAGATGAGATCAGTTTCTGAACAGAAAGAAGTAGGGACGTTGACCTCATGCTTCGGGCCCTTGTTTTGTACACCGGGAGATGTGATGCATTCTGTTCCGAGGTCAAGTCTGTCCTTGGTCAGTAACCCAAACCCATTCCCCAGAGCACTGTACTCACTGGTAGAACGTGGCATAGTCCACTGTCGAGTGGCAGGTCTGAAACTCCCAGGACTTGAGCTTCTGGCATTCTCGATGGGCTCGGAGCTTTACCTTCACTGTCCCTTGACACAGCTCAGGCACTGGTTTTCTCTGGGGTCTGTTGCAGAACTCGTTGGACTCTACCCTCCAAGATTCAGCAAAGTCATCCACATCAAACTTGAAGTTTCCATCTCCACCAATCAAGTCATCACGTTTATGTCCATTGTAGTTGCCACAGAGACCACACAGCTTGCCCTTGAGATGAGGGGCAGCCATGACTTCCACAAAACTGTCTCCATCCCAGGATATTTCCAAACCTAGAGGAGAAGAGGAGAAGGAGATCAGCCACTCCCGAAGTCACCAATAATTCCCAAAAGTACTCATCCTTCCACAGCACATATGACCTTCCTCTGATGAGGAACACCAAGGATCTGCCCAAATTCTTGGCTACCTTTTAATCTCACCACATCGAGTGTTGTGCAAAATTACATGAATCACTCACTTGCTGGGGCTTAGAGTTTTTAAACTGTATAGAGTTTGCCCTTATAATTTCTTACATACCCCAGTTTTGACCTATACATGACTGCTCCTTGACCGTGCTACTCTAGGGTTTACGTTTTTGCCCTTTTTAAAAGTAACTATGTTGATCCAAATTGTGCTTTCATTTATTCAGGGACTACCATAATGTGGAAATGGAAAAAAAACAAAGATGATAGTACTTTAATATAACTTTTTTAATCCAATAATGTGCCCCCATGTAATTATTCCCCCAAATGCCAAAGGAAAATATACAAATTATTTGCTATAACAAGAACAAAGATGATAGTACTTTAATATAACTTTTTTAATCCAATAATGTGACCCCATGTAATTATTCCCCCAAATGCCAAAGGAAAATATACAAATTATTTGCTATAACAAGAGCGTTAAAGAAATAAGTATATAGCTTCTGAATACATCCTCTTCAAAGGACAGCACTCATATAAATGAAAACATTTGCTCCTTTAGAAGTTTACAGTCATTCCTGAGGCATGGGCCACTGCGTAGTCAATGTTTCCCGGATCAGCAAATACTGTTCGTCCAAGTGCCACAAATAATTGAGAATTGACACCCAAAGGAGCTCCAACGTCATTACCGACAACGACCTAATAAATTTGAGACTCTGGGCAGCTGATTTCACAGGGATTCAGCTCGCAGTGGACAGGCCAATCACTGTATTCTTTCCTCCCAGTGGACTGGTGCTCCACACGTGCTTGGAAAGAGGCAGACCCGCTGTGTTTTCAGTAACCTCTTCTCAGAACTCATGACATCTCATTCATAAAACAGGGTCCCCAAAGTAAGAGAATAATTTGTAATTCACTGCTCTTTCTTTCTCTTTCTCTTTGTCATTATTCTATTTAGAGAACCTTCACGGCCCGGTGCTCGGCTTCACATGGTGGAGGGTTTTCTCGGCCCTGTGCTCGGCTTCACATGGTGGAGGGTCAACCTATTCTGCAACTTCTGCTTATCACCGCGTCATTTACACACGGGTTTACATGAATATTTTTACCTTCTACATGAGTAAAATCCATGCAAAATTGATTACAGTAGTGAAAGGCAAAAAACCCAGCAAGTTTTAATTCAGGAAATGGATCTTCCTAATGATATTTTAAATAAGCACCCTGGATGAAAACATCATGGAAGTGTTGAGGGGCTGGGGATCTTCTTTTCTGCAGCTGAGATGAGTTTCCCAGTTCTCTGCATGGGCACCTGGGTAGAGGGAGCTGGCAGCGTCAGAGGCCAGAGCTGAAGTGTAGGCCCCTGTGCGATGTGAGCAGCAGCCACATTCCTTCTGCCCGTGAAGGGCCTTCCAGTGTCCCCCACTCACCAGCAAACGTTTTACCAACGTGTTCTTCACCTTCCAATGTGTGGCCTGGCCCCAGGCCGCCAGCTGGGCTTTCTGTGGTTGTTGTTTGCACAACTGTTATTTGATTGCATGGATGTTGTTTGTTTTGTAGTTTGGTTGTTATTGTTACTGTTGCTGCCGTCCGCTAAAGGGGAGAGGAGGTGCAAAATCTATCAACATTTCATAGCAATGTTTTAAAATGGATGGTTTTTCTGTACAGCTTTTACACCCAAAAAATCAAGGGGAGGGGGTCAGATGTATTTTCTGAGTTCATTGCATGTAGGGCTCCACCAGAAATAAAATAAAAAGCCACGTGCCCCACGTGTTAACGCTTGCAGGTGGAGCTGACGTAACTCAGGTAGAGCTGATGAAGTGAACAGATGGCAGAAAGGAAATATTTTTCAATTATTTGCTAAGTGCCGAGAGTTGAGGCAGGGCTGCGTGGTGGGGGTAGGCAATGTTTTCTCAGGCTACTAAACCTTGCTCTGTGCCAGTTGTGATTAGGTAAGCAGCTACAGCCTAATTCCACCCGAACTGCACGGCCACCTGTGCTGCTCTGCTAAATGGTTCTGTCATGAAGTGCTGAGTCTGGAAACCACAGGGGCAAAGACCATTCCTCCCTGTTTCCCATCTTCCAGTTGCAGGCTTGATTCAAGCTGCTATTTTGAAAAAAGTACTCTTGATCACATGTGCTTATGAAAAAGAAAATCTATGGAAGAAGAACACTCAAAGGAAAGACTGTGATATTTTAAATAGACCATCAATAGGTGATAAAAAGAAAATATCCCTAAGGAGTAGTTCACACTGAGATGGCTGGACCAGGGTGAAAAACACTGCTTTCTGGAAATGGAATTGTTTCATTCAAGATAAGCACAAAGCAAGTTTAGTGCCCACAGGAATACAACTCTTCTCTAGGAAGCAGAAGGCCTATGTCACTCATGTGCTACAGGAAATTGTTCAGTTGGGTATTAAGGACACCATGAAAATGTGGCAAGAGAGATGGAAAAATAGAAGAAATTGTGAAACTGAGTTCAAAGCCTACAGTAGTTAATTCGCTAATCTAATGATGGTATTTATGATATATTATTATTTTCTTAGCAGCCTCATCCTGCTGCTCATTTTTCTAATATGGACCAGGGTGGAAAACACTGCTTTCTGGAAATGGAATTGTTTCATTCCAGATAAGCACAAAGCAAGTTTAGTGCCCACAGGAATACAACTCTTCCCTAGGAAGCAGAAGGCCTATGTCACTCATGTGCTACAGGAAATTGTTCAGTTGGGTATTAAGGACACCATGAAAATGTGGCAAGAGAGATGGAAAAATAGAAGAAATTGTGAAACTGAGTTCAAAGCCTACAGTAGTTAATTCGCTAATCTAATGATGGTATTTATGATATATTATTATTTTCTTAGCAGCCTCATCCTGCTGCTCATTTTTCTAATGTGGAATCCTGACAAAGAGGACAATTATTCCATAAGGTTTTGGCAGCTATGAGTGGAACAGTACTGAACCTCCTGGGCTGTTAGAAACCTTCAACTACCCAGGATCCCTTGAAGAAATGGGCTGCGGTTGACTAATAATTTCCATATCAGTACGAAGCACTGTGTCCAGCTGGCTTGTAAACAGATAGGCAAGGTGCTTCCAATTAGTGCTGTGCAATAATGTGTCATCTTGTGTACATTTTACAGGGAGCCAGAAAATGTTGCCTCCTCTACAGGAATGACCCGGGGCCTATATCTACAGTGTGCCATGTCTTTGGGATACAAGAACAGGTGTCTGAACTCTCTGAGCAGGACAAATCACTCTAAAGTTGGATGAGTAGATCTCTTCACCTCTCTAAAGTGAGGAACGGGAATCTTTCCCCCATTATAGAATGTTCCAGTACACTAAGACCTAACATTCTCTCACCGAACCTATGCTGTTCTCTCTAATTAAAAGCTCCCTGGGCTTTTCTTGGCTTCTTTCCCTTGTTTAGCTAAGCTGGCATTCCATAAACTGATAAAATCAATGTATCGAAATATATTTTTGCTTGAATTGAAACAATTACTAGGGTTCTGAAGGTGCAGCAGAAATAGACCCTCTGTAGTCCCTGACAAGTGCCTGCTCTATCAAATGCTTCCTTTTTGTATCCGTATTATCTAAAGAAACTGGAGCCAATTGATGCTTTTGCTCTGTTAAATTCTCATCAATGCAAAAGCAAGAAATATGCTGATTTCCTTAGAGTCTCGTGCGTGCGTAAGGAGACAGAGAACCCCAGGAGAGCACGCAGCGCAGTACCCACCCGACAGCCAGTCCATACTAACCAAACCACCCGTGATATGATAAAATGTGCAGATGAGCTGAAGTCATTGCTTGGGGCTGATATTCAACAACTGAGTTTTGCTTCTAAAATGCTTTTCTTAGGTAGCACCTAACAGACAGCAATTTGAGCCTCACGGCTCCCTGACAGCCCTGAACAGTTTGCCCAGGGGGGAGTGTGTCTGCAATGAAGTGGACATGCAGAGGCTGGTGGGCCTAGGGCAACACAGGATGCTGAGAGAGGGCTCCAGCGGCCAGCTCCACGTGCCCCAGGCCCAACGGAGCAAGCATCCCGAGTGTCCTCCACTGGAAGACAATGGTTCCAGCTGTCACCTTGGCGAGCATCCTTCCCCAGTGTCAAGAGTGGACAGGACAGCTGGGCACACATGGTCCCTGGCATCCCCACTCTCATCTGGACACCCACACATGGTGGCCTCACTGTCCTTGGCATAGGACAACTGCGTGGGATAAGCTGCCCCAGTGCACACCAAGTCTGCGAGAATCAGCTCCTCTGCTGCGGACGTTCCTGTTTCTCTGAACGCCGCTGACACTAAGCTGCTTACTTCTGAGGATTCCTCCCTTCCTGCCCCTTCTGGGACAGATGCTAACGAGGAAACACTCTTTCTTTCTCCCAGATGTCAAACTGCATGTAACCGGCTGAGCTGGGAGAGGCACTGACAACTTCAGGCTGGACATCCATGGCCTGATACAGGCACAGGACTTGAGAGAGACATTATTTAGAGACTCCAGCTGCTGTGTTTAGAATGAGGCTGGAAAGGTTCTGGATGTCAGAAGCTTGCAACACTTGTGTGACTCAAGGCTCCACAGGGGACAGATGTGTCCAGCTATTTCGTGGTGTCTTCAGGTTGTGCCTTCGCCTGCAAGTGGGGACAAGGCCAGGCCTGCAGCTGCCACAGGGTCCTTTTACACACCCCTGCACACCCTGGCCAAGGGCTCCCTGGGTGAACGGGCTGCTAGGATCAAGGGGGGGGGGAGCGAGACGGAGGCAGCGGTCGCCCACCTGCTCTGGTGGTCACCTTCAGCAGGTAGCCGTCCAGGTCGATGCGGAAGTGCGGTGCGTGGCAGGGCAGCGCGACCCGCGAGCCATTCCAGCGCACACTGAGATGCTGCTGCAGGCTGAGGGCACTGCCACCCAGCTCCAGCTGCACCGCCCGGGTCCAGGAGAAGGAGCGAGTGCGCCGCGCGTCGTTCCTCACCAGCACCTGGAAGGCCGCGGCAGGCGACGAGCAGTCCTTGGTCAAGACGTACTGACACGTCCCCTGGAAGTTAAATGTCCGCCCGTCAAAGGTGTTGTAGTGGGGGTCTCCGAACACCGTGCAAACGCCAGGCTCTGCAGGACAGAGAGACAAGAGCAGGGTCACACATCAGGAAGGGGTTGCAGAGCAATCAAGGGTCCCTGCAAGGAACCTGCCAGGGTCACACACCACGGGAAGGGTCAGGGAGCAAGCAGGGGTCCCTTCAAGAAACCTGCCAGGGTCACACAAAAGGAAGGAGTCGCAGAGCAATCAGGGGTCCCTGCAAGAAACCTGCTGGGGTCACACACGACGGGAGGGGGCAGAGAACAATCAGGGATCCCTGCAAGAAACCTGCCAGTGGCACCTGCCAGGTGAGGGGGTGGGGTGGGCCTGGCAGAGATGCACCAAGAGAATTCAACTTGAAAAAAAAAAAAACAACACTGTGGTTTCTTAAAAAGATTCTGCCAAATCTCATTTAATTCTCCTATAATATATCTAGTGCTATTATACTTAGAAGTTGTCATAACAACTCTGAATTTTTAGAGCATCTCTATTTTGTAGCCTGGATGCAGTTCTGTGATCTTCACATAAGGGATGAAGCGTTGATCTAACATAACTAAGAACTGGTCTTACGTCATAACCTACAGAATCAAGAACAAAAAAGTACACGAATAAATAAATAATGGCAGCCACGTAAATGACAACACACCGAAACATGGGTATTATTTCCATTAAACTAATTCAAAAAATTTAGGTATTCTAGGTATCACTCATGGTCTTTAATAAAATGATTATATTCAACACCCATATATTTACTCAGGACAAAAAAAATAGAATTGCCAAACAGATACATGTTTAACAGTGTTAGAAAACAAATTACTGACAAAGCTAATAGTCACAGATCGTTTTTACATGTTTTGCAGAAACACAAGTTTCCTATATCTTGATCTACATACAAAATCTAAAGTTAGATAAAAAAAAAATCACAAAACTCGTCATTTATTACATTTAAGAAATTCCAATGAATTCATCACCCCGAAATAACATGAATTCAAATATTCATAAGACTAAAGTAAAGTTTTACACTTTGAGGCATCTGAAAGATTTTTTATAGGAAATTAAATATTGTTTCTTTGTTAAAACCAAACTTAGCATTGGTTTGTTTCCCATGCAGAGATATTTTATCTGCTTTCTAAAGGAGGCACAAACAATCAGGAAATAAGGAATTCATTTAGAAAAATTAGCCCAAATGATGAAAGAACTGTAATAAAAAAGCAATTTCCACTCAACACCAGAATAGCCAGGTCAAGAATATGAGGCTGTCATGTAAGTAGCTGCTCTTAATATCTAAGGGAAGGATTGAGGTAAGACAGAGGAGGGACGAGCCCGCTGATCTGATAGGACCCACGGGACCCGCTGCAAACACTTGCTTTTTATTTCTAAAGTGTTTGGAGAGTAATATTTTGTTATGATACATTATGTCATTTCATATGTCAATTTCATATGACTCCATAAAAATCACAGGTGTTTGGAATCAATAAATTAATTACTTGTTCTAAATTAGTTTTTCTGGTCAATATTTGATAGAGACTCAAAAAAAGAGAGAAATAGTTTTTGGCGTGCAGGGTAGTTTCAATGAACAAGTACTTTAAAGAATCTATGAATGGCACTCCTTGGGGACTGCTGTCTTCGGGGTGGAAGGAGGTGGGAGAGCAGCTTGGAAAGCTCAGCAGTGACATTTGAACCCGCCCTCCATTTCTGTTTCCGTCTTATTCTTCTCTTGGTCATTTTTCCTTATGATCCTGATTTTACCGTGTTTGTTGTTTCACGTAGTTCCCAGCCCCCACTTTCCTAATTCCGTATCTCCCCAATTCTGTATGTCCCCACCTGTCCGACCTCTCCATGTGTATTTTCCAGGCCTTTCTCTGTATGATTACTTTCAAAATGGTCCTATCACACATTTTGCTCACATTCTGACAAACGAAATCTCTCCCTAGTATGAAAATGTTGCCTTTTGGTTGACAGGGAGCAAGGCAGTTCTTTGGGACACCCAAAATAGCATCAGGAGAATGACAGCTCAAAATTAATACTACCATGTGCCACAAAAGGACTAAATATTACCCTGACCATCAGATGCACCAAATTCCAGAGAAGGGCTTTTTCAGGTTCTTAACTCTACCTACTCAGCAAGACAATCCAGAATCAGTCAAGGCATTTGAGCTGTCGAGCTTGTAACAGATGGACCTCAGCTTGGAAAGACCAAGGTACCACCAAAGGGGCTGAAGTTACACTCCCGAGGACATCGCCTCTCAGAGGACAGCAGGCACGGGGAATGCCTACACCTGCTGCCCACACTCTGCTGTGGCAATCTCCTGCACCAGGAACAGCCCACTGCCCCTTCTGAAGTCCTGACAACATCTGCATCAAACTGATCATTAATAAACACAGGAACAGCTAACATTGGTCAAGGATTCACTACATCCCCTCGTACTCCTTTCCACGCCTACTGGTGATCACGTATACACCGTCAGAAAATGGATATTTAGTTGGTGTTCTAACATTAAACAAATAGCTAAGACTTTGAGTAGACTCATAAAATGAACTATTGTCTAGGCATTAAAAAGTTTGTGAATAATGATCATGACTAAGGAAATGCTTATGACATGTTAAGTGGAGAATAAGAAACAAAATTCTATGTACAGAATTATCTTAACTATGTTAAAATGAATACACACACACACACACACACAAAATTGTAAACAGTGGTTATTTCTTGGTGGCAGAACGCTGAGTGACCCTATTTTTCTTTTTTCTTTACGCTTTTCTGATTTTGTTTTGTTTTTAAGAGCCAAAACCGGGGTACTGGTGGATAAAGCCAATTATGTGACAAAGCAAATCCTCAAAGAAGCAACAGAAAATCTACTGCCTAGAGTTGCCCAGGGGAAGCCGGAGCTGACTCACAGCTGGGCAGGAAGCATGAGGAACATCTAGGGAGACCCCAGGCAAAGCAGATCATGTGTGAACAGGGATGTCAGGAAAGATATTTTTCAAGAGGCCCTAACTTGTAGAAGGGAAGGGTTTGGAAATCAGGATGATTTTTCTCTTTGACAGCAATACAGAACAGGCCAAGTAAATTTCATGACTATGAAGATGCCTGAGAATTATGTGCTGCATTTGGGGACATTTGTATCATGAGCTAAAGTAATTCTGAAACCTTGGCCCTTGTTCTTGGTACCTCAAGGTCCCTATGCCAGATCCTGCAGGAGCAGCTAATACATGTGCTGGAGAGTGTCTGAAAGTGAGAACCTCAGGGTTACAAAAATCTGCCTAACTGAAAAAGGAAAAGGCTAGAGAACACTTAGGGGATGAGAACGGACTTTGCACCCTCATACGATTTGATTCCAGCAGACCCAGCGAAGCAAGTTGCTGTCCAAGACGTCCAGATGTCCGGTCACACTCTTCTGGAAAGCCTGGCGCCATAGTTAGGGGGAAGGTGGGAGGAGACCTATAAACAGACCATCCTGAAACTAACTTTGTTTGAATGTGCATAAGTCAGAGAAGGGAGAGAAAAATGCCAGTTTACCACTGGTGGCACATTCTTTCATAGTCTTGTAATCAAATCATTATATCTTATTTTTGTTTGGGTTTGTTTTCAGTTTATGTATACCAGTGCATAGGCATAGCAGGGAAAGATCAGAAGTATATGAACTCAAATATTAAGAGTGTGCATTTTTTAATCTCTTAGGTAATGGAATTATGTATGACATTTCTCTTCCCGTTTCTTGTTTACGTGTACTTACATTATTATTTACACTTACATTTCATCGTTTACAATGACTATGTATACTTTTGGAATAAGAATATTTGCTTTCAAAAGGTAAAAATCCTGAGTGAAAATACATGCTTCGATGTTCTGTACAGTAATGAGGCTGCTGAGAGAACTAAGTGTCATGCTGCCTCTGAAAACACAGTTCCAGTGCTTTTCTCTTAACCACATCAGGTATGTTTGTTTATTCTAAAGAAATGCCTTTCTTCTGAGAGCAACGATTATTCGCAAAACATCTGTCAAAGAAAATTAAGGGAAAATTATACGATCCCTGGTTATAAAGAAGAAAATAAGAGAAACTGAGTAGACTCTAACTCCCCTCCCCGCAAACACAACAAAACAAAACCAGAGAAGCAAAAGGAAGGAAAAACAGGGTCACGCATCATTCTGCCACCAAGAAATAACCACTGTTTACAATCCTGGGCGTGTGCGCGTGTTTATTTTAACACAGCTAACATAATACTGTACATGAAATTTTATTTCCTATTTTTCACTTAACATGTCATAAAATTTCCCCAGTCATTAAAATTGCTTTGAAAACACAGAAAGGAGTGTTTTGTCCTCGGTGCATTCCTTCTGCAAAGAGAAAAGTCTCTCCAACGTGTCACACCACACCGTGACACAGATCAGTACATTTTCAGAGGGTTCTAACCATGAGGAAGCCAATCAGATTTTTAAAAACATGGCTTCAAATCTTTCCCAGCACAAATTGTAGGGAAACGTGCCCCCTGGGACTTTGGGGTCACTGTGTCATGCAGGGATCATCTTGATGCCAAGTTTGGGTCAAGAATCGGGAGGCTGCGATGAGAAACACTGGCCGTGACTCAAGCCTTTACGCTGTTTGTCCAGGTTCTCCCGCATGGCACTGGAAGCCTCCAAAGGAAAGAGGCTGTGGTGTGACCCAGCAGGACCTGAACCCCTCCATGCAGAAGCCACTGGCCTCGCACAGAGGTGTCAGTGACAGCTGATGCCCCACATGGCTGAGGATCAAGAGATGCTCCATCGGGTGGTACCTGTATTTCTGCAAGATTTTACATCCTTGGCCTCTTAAATTCAGAACTTAATCTAACATTACTGTGTGTATGGAGGTATGGACGGGCCAGGAAGGGGTAAGTGTATCTCTCTCCACTAGCCCGTGGCTCCAAGACCATTGCCTCCCCAACTATGACTTGCAATACAAACTTTACAGCTGATACTACAGCATCCTGTGAACTTGTGAACTAGCTGGGGTCACAGAGCTCTTTGGGAATCTGAAGGAATGTGTAGACA